TGGATGGATGGATGTTTGGGTCGGTTGACTATGTGCTAACTGTATAACAATGCTGGGTGGATGTTCATTAGCAATGAACTTGCACCTAGGACTTTATGACTTTTTATTGCCAACGAGTCTAGCACAAACTCCACTTCTCCCCACATTCCTAATATACATTGGTTCATACTTTTATTTGTTGTTATACTGCACCTCCTCAAAGAGTCCTGAAATTGATTTTAAGTCAGTGTTCTTAAAACTCTGAGGAGATGAGACATTTAAAGAGTGTACAGAAAATGGTGATTTTGCAACCAGAGTTAGTTTTCACTGCCTGCTCCCACCCCTAGCTTGACTTGCTAAGATGCATGGCTTCCTAGGCCTTATCAGATTCTTCAATAACAGATTGGAAATAATTACATTTACTTCTTTTACAAGATTGATGAGATGAAATAATTTGGAAAAAAATACATATAACACCAATCTATCTGTCTACCTACCTACCTATCATCCATCTATCATCTACCTATCTATCTATCTAGTGTGTGTTGTTGTTATGGTTTGTTGGATATAGCCCCCAGACGAAGATTGTGTAAACTTAAGTATTGTTACCCCTCTTTTGTCACTGAGGCTCTAAACATAAATAAGAACTTGTTTAAAAGCATCAAGGACCAGCACAGGCAGGAACATGAATTCACAGTTTCTGCTGCTCTCCGAGACACAGTGCTAAAACAAGAGTTTTAGAGCCACAGCATTATGACACAGTGTGAGATCCCAGATGTCAAGGAGATGGGTTGGTTCTAAGGTAGGCATGACAAGTAGGTTCATCTGGAGTGCCAACTCCAAATCAGGTTGTAGTTGCTACCTGGAGTTGAGAAGGACTCTCAGGCCCTATCTGAGCTTCAGTTGTGTAGTGATGTCTGCTGTGGATATAGGATCTCCTATACATACTTCCATATTCAAGGTTACTTCATGTAGTTGCTACCTGGAGTTGAGAAGGACTCTCAGGCCCTATCTGAGCTTCAGTTGTTTAGTGATGTCTGCTGTGGATATAGGATCTCCTATACATACTTCCATATTCAAGGTTACTTCAAAAAGTTTGTGGAAAAATAGAATTTAAAAGATAACACAAATCTTTCCATGGACTTTTTGCAGTACTCTTGTATTTTCCATCTCTGTTCTAAGATCTCACAGGAGTTCATTATGCCAGGTCTCCATGCTGGCTCTCCACCACCGATTCACCATCACGGCTCATGAGATTGTTCACGAGAGAAAATACTATGGAGATTTTGTGGCTTCTGGAAGGTGGTTTTACAACTAAATATGCAAACTTCCTCCTTCAGTGAATGTGGTTCATAAAACGTAGAGAGAGAGGTGAGGAATGCTAACTGTAACATCAATACCTGTGAGTCATTTTCTTTGAAGGAAGAATGCTTGTCTTTCCATCCAGGGTGGGCTGTCTGTTGTGGAGGGGATGGTTCTCAAGCGGTTGTGGCTAGGAGTGGGTTGCATTGAAAAGTAAAAATGTTCACTTCTGTGCAGATACAAATATAATCAGATTGACTTTATTTTAAGCTTCTGTTACATTTTAGTTAGTAAGAGTGTACTAAGTTAAGCCAGTTTAACAGTCTAGCAAAATACATTTCATTTTAATATTGGGTATTGGAAGGCTTGGCAAATGCTGGGAGATTACTTAACAGAGTTATGTGTGCTGCACCTACAGAGGGGACCAGTGAACCCTCATAGGTTAATGCCTGAAGGCTCAAGAACAGTCTCAAAGGCTTAGAAACGCAGTTATATAGACCAGAGCATTCCATTCTGGCTTTCCCCCCAGCATCCTTTCCACCGTTTATTTTTTGCTAAGAATCACAGTCTACTGACCTAAATCCTACCCTAGGCATATCAGTGGGAAACTCTGACGATTAATCAGCCTTACAAATAAATACCAGGTAGCCTTATCCGTTGGAGCCTTGGTGCATAATACAAATGACACTGGTGTCCTCTATTGTTGGGTGAGAACTAGCACTGGCTATTTGCAAGGCTGAGCACATATCACCTCTCAGCACCCAAATGCCGAGCTGAGGTGTCAACATGGGTGATGTGAAGTGTGAGAGAGAAAATCTGCTAGTTTCTTCATCATTTTGGGCTTATTCTTTCTCTGAAAAGAACCCAGGCCTGCATCTTTGTGTGAAGGAGATGATCCCAGAGATACAGGTAAGGTATAAACACTAATTAAGGAGACTAATTCCTCACCCCTCCAGTCCAAGCCAGCCTCATTAGTTTCTAGTACTGCACCCCAGAAAGGGTTAAAGTAAGGGATATTGGTTCCTGCTGACGAGGCCACAGTGTGACACCTCCTATAAAATACACCATAAAACTACATTATTTAATAGATCCAAGTATTGCACCTGCTTCCATATCTCCTCGTAGGTGATTAAGTTTCCCACAAATGCAATTTGTTAATATGAGGCCACATCTTCTCACAAGGCGAATCTGTGAAATTTGGCAGGCAGTCGCTTGGCTGCAGATGTAAGATGAGAGACCTTTCCCTGGCTTTGCCGGGAAGAAAAATGAGGTTGTGCTCAATTCCTGGGAAAAATATTCTGACATGGAAGTAGAACCTTATTCTAAGAAGGGGGAACAGAATTCTAGGGCCCAAATCATGTGCTTTCCATCCTTTTTTGGGGAGTGCTACCCCCAAAAGGCCTAATGAGGAATCAGAAGTCTTGTTTTACATGACACCAGGTATTAAGCAGCTCCCCTGCAGGGAAGCCCTCTGATATTGGAGCTGCAGCCATTTGTGATGATAAATGATGAATTTTACTCTTATGAGCTATGAGAGCTTAATCAGAGCTTAATTAAAGCTAATGCTCAGAATCCTTTGGAAGGTGAAGCAATTAAAAACTAACTTCCATGCCAAAAAGCCTGGGTTTGGAAAAGTATGTCTTTGAAATGCGTGGCACCCCCACTCAGGGGCCCTCTCCAGTCCTGTCTTGGGTCTTCACACCTATGTTAAAGCGAGGGCTGACTGCTTTTTGCATTAGCATTTCCTTAGCCAAGACTCTGAGAGTCTGAGTGCCCGGGCCCTTCTCTGCCCCCTGTGCGTTTACACGGAGGACCGTCTTTGAATCTGCAGGTCCAGCTCGCCGTACACATGTCGCAGGGAGTCGCTGGCCAAGCTGGCTATCAGCTTCCGCGGGCCCGAGACCCAAGGCCGACACACTTCCTCCCACTGCACGGTGGAGCTGGGCCGAATTTCACTGAAAGGATAGAAAAGAGAGGAGAGTTTGGCAGATCAAGCTTCTGGCCTTTCTTGATGGAGAAGCAGTGACAAACCTGCCTGACTCCCCTGCTCTCTTTCCCTCCAGCGATGGTGGTTAGAGGACCCCAGGGCCTGCTCGGCGGGTTCAGCAAGTTACAACCCAAAGGAGTTCCTCCGTGAGGCTCTGCAGAGCCT